ATGTGCATTATTTATTTGGGTAAGATGTTTGAAAATTTGTACTATTTAAACGACCCAAAAATAGTAAACAGAAAACACCCGTACCCGTTTGTCGTTTACGTGTAGACCACGGTTTACCACGGGGAAACGGGTAGAAATTACGGGTAAAATTGCTGACATCAGCAGAAATTGGTAAACAAAATGGCGATACTCGTACCCGTAAACCGGAACCGGGGTATCTTAACCTCTCTATTATGCATATTAACGCGCCGGCTTGCGAATTTCATAACAAAAAAGCAGAGCTTTTATCGGGTGTAACAAAATAATAAACGGCGGAAGGCAAGGCTATACTATTCGTCAAAAGAAAATGATTTCAACAAATTTCGATAATTGAATATAATACGAGATATAGCCTTTTGAGCGAGAAACCTTTATAGATTCCTATGTAAAGTGAGGTAAAATGTTGTAATATTCAATCGCAAAAAGCAGAGCGAGTAGGCAAAGAAATGAGAACTTTTTTTCTTAATGTGTTACTATCCGACCGCTACTTCTGGAACCAATTTCAACAAATATTCAAAGATTTATATATAGCATGCTATATTGAAAATACTCCGCTCGCCTGATAATAAACATAGGGCATTGCGCAGCCATTGTTGCGTGGGTGCTCGTGGTAACGTGAAACCTGAGAAATGAAAATGTCCGTGACTTCTGGCCATGAGGGACTGGATCGATGGTTTAAGGTCGTCACGGCATGCTGGGAGCTGGGTCGAAATTTTCTGGTTGAAACCTTTGCTTGTCTTACAACGGCATAGGAGTCTGGGAGGGGACGAGAAAAGTAGGGAGGGAATTAAGGGTAAGGCAGACTAAGACAGACTATCAATACCGCTCGAACACGCTGTTGCGGTCACCCTGCCTATAGTCATGTATATTATTACCTCCGCCAGGAGGTTATGTAATCATCTGGGTTTGTTACCTCCGCCAGGAGGTTATGTAATCATCTGGGTTTGTATGTGTGTGTGTATGTGTGTGTGTGTGTGTGTGTGTTTGTCTGTGAGCACGATAACTCAAGAAATACGAAACATATCCGTACGAAATTTTGTGAGTGCATTTCCCATCAGCTAAGGAAGAACTGGTTAAAATTTGGTTGAATTTGGTTAAAAATTGAACGAGAAATGAACAAAATTTTGTCTTGCTTTTCCCGGTCAATTAAAAAAATATTACTGAATGCGTAATTAGGACGTGTATAATTTATGCACACAGTACTAAGACAATAATGAGATGATAAACCTCATTAAGCTTCGGCCTTCATTATCTATTGTCTTAGTTGTATTTCACGCGACCGAAATTCAATGTCTAAAACAAGGCTTACGGAGTTACGCATTATTACGTTTAGCAAAGTGCCAGTCCATTCAAATTCTAACAACATTAGATTACTTCAATACAGGGTGTATAAAAAAAACGCAACCTCGGAATTTCCCAAGAAATCGACATTGTTTTAAAGACAAAAGATTTTAGCTGCCTGGGAATTTAAAATAGCACAACTGTGAAAATTACTGCACGCGCGAGTGCATAAAGCAAAATTTATGCATTTATTTAATGACACTTAATAAGTTTTTATTTTACAAGTACTGTACAGTACAACAACAGTAATATGATCTATTAGCAATTCGATTTCAATTCGCGGGGGCCTAAAATCTTTTATGCTTAAGAATTGCAAAGTGGTTTTCTTAGGAAATTCCAAGGTTGCGTTTCACTTCCGAGTAACGGGCGGAGGTATGCAGTCTCTGAGTGCCCTCTAGTTCTTGTTCTTGTTATAGTTTTGTGTATTGTAATATGGCGAAACTAATAAATAAATAAATAAATAAATTTCCCCCCTCACATCTTGGAAGCCTGATCACCAACAGATTGGGATCTCAATCGGTTTTATATATATGCGACGAAGCAACGGCCAATATACAGAGTGTATCAAAAAAAGCGCAATCCTCGACTGAAATGTAAATTGCTAAACAAATAATAGACGAAAACGTTAAAGTTTACATTCATTTTAAAGCGTAGCCATTCAGCTTTCTAACAGTGGGTTGTTTCTTAAATTTGACTCATTGGTTCGCGGGTTATAATACTTTACGTTATTGCGATTGGAGATTAAAAAAATTGAGATGGAATAACAAATCGTTCTCATGAAAATAACTGATTTTTTCATTAAAACAAAAAAATGTTGCATTTTAATAAATGGATTATAACAATAAGTATAATTACGGCTTTTCTTCCACTATTTTTAACACAGTTTGAAACTTCAAGTGCGATATAATTTTGGCTTGGACCACCTAAGCTGACTGACATCAGCTTGCTATAATTTCTGTTTACATTACATCGCAATTCGATGACACTCTGGCTCAGACACCAGAATGTTTTGATTCTATGATTTTTAGCATTCGTTTGGGATTTTCAAACAACCTGGTCTCTTTTAAAATACTTTTAATTTGTTCTTACGTGGTTTTCCAGATGTAGTGACGACAACATTAAAGTTTAAAGAAGAAAATTCTAACATTTAAACCGACTAAACAATAACATAGTAAACTTGCATAATTAAACAGCAACTAAAAATGATAGGTTTTACTAAATCTTTACCTGTGCAATTATTACTAGCATTGGAGACAAGGATAATAGTTTGTTTGAAAGAGAAAAGAACAGGCTTTGAAGTAAGCCTAAAAGCGTTTAACTAGAAATAGTATTTCGAAAGTTATTAAGCACAAAAGATGAATTGCGTTTATTTTGATACACCCTGTAGACTTGTTTAGATCAAAATTTAGTCTATTACGCAAATGGTCAATTGATAAAACTAGAATAGTGAAGCGAATAGTGCGAATAGTCGACGAATAGTACGAATAGTCCGCGAATAGTCGACGAATAGTACGAATAGTCCGCGAATAGTCGATGAATAGTACGAATAGTCCGCGAATAGTCGACGAATAGTACGAATAGTCGACGAATAGTGCAAAAGAGACTTTGCAAGGCTTTGCAGCAGTGCTGTAGAACTAAATTTACCGGGGGAGGGGGGCTCAATTGACAAACATGAAATCGTGAAAACATTCGTTGACGTACGTCAATGACGTCATACGTAACCGGTAAAAATTACGGGAACCACTGAGTATTTTAATAAAATATAAAACAACGGTAACTTCGAAAATAAACATTTTAATATTCTAGCTTTCGACTAAAATCCAGTCATCGTCAGGAAACATATTTCATATTTTTTTAATTTATAATCATTCCTAATGGTAAGTGGTAACCATATGAGTCATGAATTTTACTGATGGAATTTTATAGGAATTTTACTTGTAAGTTGTGACGTTGTAACTGAAGATTTAAGGGCTTAAGTGATTTCGTGTGCTTGGAAAACGTGATTTACATCACGAAACAAGAGAAGGTATCGATCTATTATTTAAGCCCGTTTTTGGGCGAATTTGTTCGCGCGAAGCGAAAACCAAATTTCGGCAATGTGATTGGTCAGCGAAAAAATTCGCCGCGAAAAAGTTGGATCAGTTCCTACTCTTTTACTTGTCGCTTCGCGCGAACAAATTCGCCCAGTGGAAAACGTCATTCTAGTGATTGTCATTCTACTTCCTGTTAAATATTTGCTAAAACTCAGTGGTCCCGTAATTTTTACCGATTACGTATGACGTCATTGACATCAACGAATGTTTTCACGATTTCATGTTTGTCAATAGAGCCCCCCCCCCCCGCCCCGCTTCGGTAAATTTAGTTCTACAGCACGGTGGAAAGCCTTGCAAAGTCTCTATTGCACTATTCGTCGACTATTCGTACTATTCGTCGACTATTCGCACTATTCGTCGACTATTCGTACTATTCGTCGACTATTCGCACTATTCGTCGACTATTCGCGGACTATTCGTACTATTCGTCGACTATTCGCGGACTATTTGCACTATTCGTCGACTATTCGCGGACTATTCGCACTATTCGTCGACTATTCGCACTATTCGTCGACTATTCGCACTATTCGCACTATTCGCTTCACTATTCTAGTTTTATCAATTGCCATTCAATTTGTTAATGAAAGTTTTTAAACTATTGTTGCCATACTGAATTTAAAAACGCTCAACTTGGTATGCAATAATTATTATAAAATGCTCAATTTGGTACACCAATTTGGCATACCGCTAAACGATAGGTAATATTTACTTAGATTGCAATATATAATAATAACGCCGTTTAATACAGGGAAGGAAATGATATCAACAGAAATGTTGGAAAATTGGATTACATCTTTCAATTCGATTTTTATTTTTCACGAGATATAGGACACTGATAGGTGTTTAATTTAGTGAGTGAATTCACGTAAACCCAGCTATTTATTGACGGTTAGGGAGTGTATACCGCAAAACCTTTCCTAAAGAAACGTCATAATGACGTAGCGTTCAAGCAGCACTGCACGGCTGCGCGGGGGCAATAAATCGTTCGTTCACTTCCTCTCAAAATGTCAGATATCGCATATCACAGATTAGTACAGTTCTGTATTTTAACAACAAGCGCTTGAATTAGGCGCTAACACGTGTGCATTTCCGATTTATACACGTTACGTTAATAAAATCTTGAAGTTTAGCGTATATACGTCTTAAATATTGCAGCTAAGGTCTCTATTTTGGCCAAAAGTTGTAGGGTTGCGAAATGGCTTCCAATGTCAATTTTGTGTCGGCACAATGATTCCAATTGTGAGCCAATCAGCGTGCCGTATTTAACTCGCACAACAAAGAGGTAAAAAAGGCCTCTTTGTCAACGCCACTAGATACTAATATTTATAATGCCGCCTACGTCGAATCTCATAAATTTACACGGAATTGTTGGGCTTATTTGCCAGAATAAGCCTATCTGTTTATGCTAGTATACTTAAACCATGTTTTTAACCGGGTATTAATTTAATAAAACGGTGATAAAGAGCGTGTATAATTTGATAGGCGGTCATATTTTGCCAATGCGTCTTGTAAGCGTTTTGATTGACACGAACAGCCTCGAGTTCTAATCCGCGCTTCTGATTGGTCGAGAGACCAGGGGGCAAATTATTATAGACTTGATGTGTGAGTCGTATTTGAATGAATGTCGAACCATAGACAGAAACAGTAATTTTCATGCGCGATTTTTATTTGGAAATCCATCAAAGGGATTAAATTGGATACTACAAGAAGATTTATTGAGATACTATTGTGGCGTATGAACATTTGTGCTGGCTAAAAGAATAAAAGAATACAATTTATAAACAAGACAAGCTCAGACAAGTTACATTTGCTCGCTTTTGTGTTGTGTACGGGATTTTGTTGTTTAAAACGGCGTTTTCACGGGGAGTTTTAGACGTATTACACCTCTCTGGTTAAAGGATTGAACCGGTAAGCGATACAGTTGTATTATTGGTTTTCTGTTTTGTCTTTAAGCGGCAAAATAGCGTTTACAACTTATTATAAAGTCTATGCTTTGATGTTCCGGATATTGTATTCAGTGAAGCGAATTATTGGTGAACTAAACTGTAGTGTGTAGTACCTTATTCATTTATCCGTGGCCTTATTTAATTGTAGGGTTAACTGTGTATTTATATAAGCTAGTTACCATTGTCTAGGCTTATTACGAATCGTCGAGCTAACATAAGGATTATGCCAAGTTTTGTTTATAAATTTTGGTACAAATAGTGAGAGAGTAATAATGGCTCGTATATGTGAATTAATAGTGTATTTCTTTTAAATATAAGTAAATAAATCCCACTAGGGGATTGTGTGTTAGTACCCTAGCCTTTTTCCAAACCTCTATAACCCTATTTCAACAAGTACGGCTACTTGTTTAACGTTTAACACATAGAATACCGAATATATGTTGAAGCTGTTTACATTTCGCTGCGAGCGTATTTTGTATCTCGCGAGGTTGGCTTTTTGTTCTCAAACTTCTAATATTGTGTCTATCTTGGCCGAAACAAATGCAATTAGCTTTGTTTGTGTTGAAAACTAGTATTTAAGGTTAGTTTAGTGTTGAAATATGCTCAAATCGACTGTGAAATTATGCCTTTGTATTCTCAAGTTTACAGCTCAAAAAAACGCGATCATTTGATTTCGTCCCCCCTATAAATGTAAAAGCTTAAAGATTATACTGTATTTATCACCCCTGATAGAACGTTTATATCTCAGTTTATATAACTTTTGTATGTTTCTACTAATATACCGAGCAATGAGTGAATCTATAGCGTTCCGATATTGAGCTACATATAAAAATACTGCAGTTTGTTTTTGCATGCCTCCGCGAATTATATCCAGAAAGTTTCGGCGTTCAATTTCGGATTGCATTTTATATCCCAGATTTTATGACTATTTTTGCAAGCACGACTAACATTTTAATATACATGCGTTTAAAATATTTAGCGATAGTTTAGTGATATAAACTTTAATTCTTACCTGAAAATGCTGGGATTGCGTTTGTATTAAATTTGAAGTGTCATGTAAAGTGTAATATTAAACCTTTGTACAAAATTTGCATGTATTTCGATATTTTGCAAAAGTTTCAAAATTATTACACTGTTTAATATGCAAGTTTGCAAATAACAATTCCCAAATGTATACTGTATGAAATTTTGAAAATGACTGCCACATGTTTATAAGGCATATTTTCATTGATTTTTTTATGCACAGCTGCTTAATTTTATGCTAAATATTTTGCCTCTAAACTTTTCATAGACAACCTCTAAACTCTATTGTGATTATTTGTAAATACACTTCAAAATTTACACCCCTAAATTAGCTCACTTTAAAAGCGAACTTTGGGTTTAAATTTCGATATACAACTGTTTATGTCAAGGGCTCCCCTTTGCAATTTGAATATGTTTACTATCAGCCGCGAATTTTTGCGGTCAAAAGCCCAATTTTTTCCTCAAAACGAGAATTTAGACTGCTTTATAGTTAAACCGGACAAGAATGTAGTTTAAATGATTGTTTTCGTGCTAAATTAGTGCGCATTTAAGTTAAAAATTATAGCATATATTAAATTTGTTAGTGTTTACAAGTGAGATACATGCACGGAACTCATTTGCTGACAAACCAGCCAATTTCCCCAAGCATTTACTGCAATTTATGCTCTACATTTTATACAGCTTACAGGAATACAGTTTAAATACTTGCATTAATGCGAAATAATTGTATTTGAAAATGAAATTCTACGCTTTCTTTGGGGGAGTCCTCGGAGTCAAGAAGACCTTTTATACAAGCAAAATTTTTTGCCCAAACGAGAAGTATAAGCCTATTCTACATATATATTTCACAACAATGACATGGTAATCTCTCAATTGATGCGAAATTACTATATTTAACTTGAAATTTCTGAAATTTATAAGCTGTAATTTGCTAGTCCTCAAAATGTGTAAAAGAAAACGAAAATATGAGAGATATTTTTATGCAATTTCCTGTTTGGGTGACACGCTGTTGGATATTGACCAATCAAATAGCTTGTTCACGCTTGTATTTTACAATTGAGGCTATCTTGTTACCCTTTCCTGTCAATCAAGTGAGATTTTAAGAAAGACGAATTAATAAACACTAAATGCAATTATCATAATATTCTCTTACATAACACGTTACCCTATGGGTCGATAAAACGTAACACGTATATCATTTTGCAACTGTTTCTAACACTAAACAATAATTGTGTTTATGAGAATCGAAGACTTGATCTATACTATAGATCATGTATGCAGATTTTCTAAAACCTGTAGTGTTACTATGGGCAACAAATGTCCTACTCGGGTATACATGGTATTCAGTATCAATTTCTTAAGCAAATTAAAGGGTTGTTGGATTATAGACATTGACTGATATATTTCGATGAACATCATACTTTATTTAAAGATTGTCAGGGTATGTGATAATTCAATATGTTTAGCCATACCTGACTGGTACTCCAACAATTTTTGCCGTGTACTTGAGCTGGTATGAACTTAAAAGTCAAGGTGTACCTAAGGCTACTTCCGAGTCTTGCGTTTTATACATACGTATATAATGCACGGTCTTTGACGGGAAAAATTAAACCTTTCTGAATTTTATATATTTAATAATTACTAAACACTTATAACAAAGTTAACAACCTTGTTTGATCCCAAAATATGTCGGATGTGTGGAATTTACATTGTACAGCTAAAGTTATTGACGGTTTTGAATACCTTGGAAGGTTTGTTAGTTATTGCTAGAAGGAAAATGTAAGTACGTGAGTAGCAAATTCTTGTGTACCTACGTGGTACTCGGCTAAGAACAAAGAAGTACCAGACCGTAATTTTGGCCTGGCGTACCTCTGGTACGTTGGTACACGAATTATCACACCCTGGTATACTATCTAGTTTCGAAGCCTGCTGAAATAATGGCTCAAGCATTGCTAAACCTTGTACTCAATTTTTTCTCTTTATTAATCTGTCCTCAACTCTCTGATTTTCATTGTTTTTAACATGTATCTGATGCCGCACCTGTTCTGCACACCTGTACTTAGATACAACACATACTTAGATATTTAGAGTTCCTGACAATATAGCACCCAGAATTTTACAAGTCACTTCTCAGAATGCCGGAAATGCACAATTTTGTTGTACCCCCCCCCCCTCCAAAAAAAAGGATGCATTCCATTTGAATTCCAGTTTAAAAAAAATGATCAGACAATTGTGTATACTGTTCCAAATTTGGAACTTTGAAACATTTCATTGGTTTAGGAAATTTTCAAAGCATTTGGGTTAAATTATTGTGTTATTTCAAAGGTCGTAGGTTTGATTCCCACCATGGCCAGGCATATTTTTCAAGCTTGCCCGGTGTGGATATACACTCAGAGTAACATCATCACAAGCATCAATAGTGATCAGTGTTTGTGATTCGTTTGATAAAAAGATGACTTCCAAAGTTCATTGTCTTTTATTATTATTATGATCAACCAATCACAAACCCGTTGGTGGGGATTTTAGGGATTTTGTCAAAGGGATTTTCAAGGGGTTCTCAATGTTATAAGGAAGAATTACTACTAAATTAGGAGCCACTGTACGATGTATCATCATTCACCTTGTAATTCTATAGCACAAGTGTTGGGAAACAACTTGAGTTTTTCCTGTGTTGAAGGATATATCCAAAAAGCAGGATCTCTTGAGGTCAGGTGATCTTCAGGAGGTATTGAATTACAATAGATTGATGATTTGGTAAAAAGCAAAGAATACTTGCAAGTTTTGTGTCATTTCCTCAATATTATTATAAGTTTAGCTGGGAAAATATAACTAATTGTCCAAAACTAATTGTCCAAAATTTAATAAATTAACTAACATTTTTCTGTGTTTTGTCCCAATGGGCTACTTGAAAACTTTCTATTTATTTATTTATTAAACTTTGCCACTTACAACAAACAAGTGTCAGGATCACCACAATATACACCAATTACTGTGGGCCCTTTAAAAATTGCTAAATTTTAAGAATACAACACAAAACAATATATATTGCAATACAAAACTACATTGCACAGTACAATATTGAATATTATGCAGTGCAATGCAATACAATACAACGCAACGCAATGCATACATAGCAAGAACAAGATTCAACTTCTCCCGCCACCAACAATATTATAGTTTACTGAGCTAACCAATTACATGCACACCAGGTCAGCGAGAGGTAGCGGTAGTGGTGGCCAAAAACAAGGGCATTAAAGTTGTCAACTTTTGGAAAACTCTTAAAATTGCAGATATGTAAAGTTTTCTTGACAAATGCACATGTGCTTTGCTGTCTCTCATGGGATCTACCCGGGTGTCATATGATAGATTACACGCTTCCGGAAAGTAAGTCACCTTGGTCACAGAGACTTGTTTTCCTAATTGACGTAAGGCTTTAACTAAGGTCACACACACAAAAACGAGGCTCTATATGGCTAGTGACGTACTTTCCGGAAGGGTGTATTAGTTTGTTATGCAAAACAATTTATTTCATGAATGATTTAAGACTGTTTAATTAAGGATCTTAAATGGTTTAGTGATTGTATTCGACATTGTAATGAACAGGAAACTGCTCTATGCATGTGTGGTCCAGTATGGTTATTTATGGTATGCACGATTCCCAAAAGAAGTCGGTGCCCACCACATTTTCCCTGCCTATAATGTTGACAATCGCTGGAAATGATTTCCTTAACAGCTCTCCAAACGGTCAGAAATGCCGTTTCAAAGGGTCTGAATTTCAAAATCTTTCAAAAGGGAGATGATGTCAGATCCTATCTGCTTAGATCCTTCAGCACCATAGAGCCATCTATTTCTTTCAAAACCTCTCCTCCAAATTCAATTGGGGCCCCTGGGTATGTGTTGTTGCCAAGGAAAGTTTTTGCTGCAAAAGAACAGTAGTGTAGGATTTCGAAATGTTATTCTAGAGGATTAGGACGTTTTCCAGTCAGATCTAAAATCACCTTAAGTCGGATGAAGCCCAATAATCTGGTAATAATGGCTTCTATGATTTCAACAACTTCACATTGGTCTGAATGAACAGCTTGCTATTTGTTTGCAAGGGTTTCGTTTCTGGTAGATCAAGCTCATTTTATGAAGAAATATTGATTCTTTACAGACTCTTTGACACGACTTCTAATTTAATACAACATATCATACTCTTGTACTTTTTTATTCTGGCGCTCTTGTACGTTTTTATTCTGGCTATTAAGATTAAGATTCATGTACTGTGGAGGCATTATTCTACCAATAATTGCTACATGTATACACTGAGAACAAACTGATGTATACATTAACTATAGTACTACAATAATAATTGTAAGAAAACGTCACTTTCTAGAGTGTCATATTGTAACAAATATTTCAACCCAGAATGCACAAAGTCAATTCAAAACATGTGGCTCGATTACTACAAGGTCTGTAGTCTTTGCTTTATAAAACATTGAAATCCTTTACACAACATAACTTAGAAAACGCAAGACAGAAAACCTTGATAGATAATAGCGTGACAAAGTAATCCCAGCACTTGATACCCAATCAATTTTCCTAATACCACTTCACCTTAAGATGACATAAGGTATGGACCATACAGGAAGAATATTAACATTCTGACTGAATCAGGGTCGCAGATTCCATTGCCGCCAGAGGGGCCTACAGGGTCTGAAATTTGCAGTATCCCGATATCCACGGGATGCTAAAATTTGGCTTTGGATACCAAACTGTGAATGACTTATATCCCAACTGGATACTAAGAAAATTTCAAACATTGATAGCTTTTGAATACTGTCTATGAGTTTGCCACACAAGCCTTTCCTCATATAATGTGCATTTTTGTGTATTAATGAATTGTCTAGTTGTTCACAACTTGACTGTTGAATCTCCTGTTGTTATTGTAATTTGTAACAGCGAGAGTTATTGGATTGGACAGGGTATAATACTTATGGTAACCAATATCCAGAAGTAGGATACTGCATTCTCAGGGGGGATACTAAACTTTGAATCCTGGTATCGCAGTTGGATACTGAAAAGATATTTAAATTTCAAACCCTGGCCTATAGTTGTGTCAGCCACTCCTAGTTAGATCTGAAATTGTATATGATCTTCTTCTTGAAATTCAGGGCCATCGCCATAGGGATCGTGTGGGATGTTGCCATAGGGGTGGTGTGGGATGTCGCCATAGGGGTGGTGTGGGAAACATCTTGTCGGCAAAGTAAGGGATTTGTCAGGGATGTCGCCATAGGGGTTGTGTGGGAAACATCTTGTCGGCAAAGTAAGGGATTTGTCAGCAAATTGTTTTTGTAGTCGGCATTTGTGTGGCTTGGATTAAAAAGGAATAGTCATAGCAAAAATTTTGATAAATTAACAAAAATTACTGAAAAGAAATTATGGTACATTAATGCAATTTTTAGAAAAGAAATATTTAATTAGCGACTGAAATGTTGTTGGACAATGTGATACTACACCCCTGCTTCAGCCTCGTTGCTACAGCCTGGCTGAAATTTCCATCAGTACAAAACCATTCAACTGTTAGTTGTATCAAGCATAAAAGACCTCCAGTGGCGGAAATTCACTTTTTCTAGGCAAAGCCTCCTAAATTCGACAAAACTCTCAAATTTCCGACATAATTTTGCACTGTTTTAGCCCTCTTTAGGTCAAAAATTTCCAAAAATTCGATCAATTTCCGTGAAGGTTCGAGCCCCACCAAGATTTCCGCCACTGAAGACCTCTGTGGCAGGGGTTTTATTTCTGCAATATACACTTGTCTCATTTTTTTTACAATCATATGTCAAACGAATGCTTCAAGTTGACTCCACTAAAAACTGCAGGTTTACTTTGAGTGTTTACTTTTGCCACTCCAGTTTCCATCTGTTGGTAAAGGCGCATTTCCACTCAGGAAAATTTTCTGCAGAAAGAAAATTTCGTAAAATCTGATTGGCCAACACAAATTTTCCGTCGGAAAAAAACTTGAAGTTGAAAATGTTCAACTTTTAACAATGATATTTTCGAAAAATTTTCTGTTCGTGGAAAATTTTCTTGAGTGGAAATTTGCCTTAACACTGTATCAATAAGGGATGTCACTTACAGTACTTCAGCTCTCTCAGTTTAACCTTGACTTTTTATCTTTTAATCAATTCTCATATTACTCCCCTATAATAATGTTTCCCAACCCACCCTGCGGAAGCGTGTGCAATTAAGCAAAGCCATGACATTCAGTATGCGTTCACTTGTAACTCTTTGATACTAATAGTGTTCACAGTAAAAAAAAAACAATTAAACCCACAAGCTCAAAGGTGAAAGGTTCACCCTTTACCCATAAAATATAATCCTTTAACATTGAGATAAGTTTTGTGGGCGGGAACTGGAGTCCACAGAGAGGAAGCTGGTCAACTCGGCCCACTGACCAATTCGGCCTATACCATCTTGGCCCAATTGTTAACTACTGCCTTGACATATTAGGAAAGGTAATATTTTACAAAAGCTAGCACCAAACCAACATAGCCACTTGCAGTTACATTGGGCGTACAGATGAGTAAAGTTCGAGAACATTCAGTTTGAATCTATCGAAGTTTCAAATTCTCGATCTGTCCGTTTCGATACCAAATTACTGATCATTCAAGTCTCTCTCAAAATTTGCAAAGATAGAACGCAGTCATGGCTCCTAGCTTGTTTAGTGGTTAGATTAGTCAGTTTACGAGCGGGCGGAGTTGTTCCTTGAACGGTGGGCCGCGTTGGTTAGTGGGCCGAGTTGACAGTGTAAAGCCACAGAGAAAAGCCACCAGCATGCTTTAACAATCTCTTGTAGAGTTATGCAGTCCACGGCAAAAATCACACCCTCAGGGTTGAAAGGTGTTTGCTTAGACAAATACACCCCAAACCTCTTTAAATGTAAAGCCCAATCCATTTAAAGTTTGAATCAAATATGCCAAACGTTTTCCACATTTGTGGCTTGCCCCTAATATTTCTAAAAGGCAGGTGTAATTCTTATTTTTCATTGTCAATCAAATTTGCTGTATAATAAGATAGCAGGTGTATTCAACCAATCAAAATACGGAACCTAAGTGAGAATTTGTAAACATTGCAAGGATTTGCATATCTAGCTTCTAGTTAGAGTTTGTGTTTTTCATCATCGTTGCTGTTGATGATTAAATTGTATAACCTCTTGTGCATTTTTGTATGCTATAGTTTATAAATACAGATTTCTGTTATGCCTATTTGATTAAAGTGTGAAGGAAATCCTATTTTCCTTACAAAACCTCTATGTGGTTTTGCCAATTTAATAAGTCACTTCAGAGCTTATATTTGAATGTCACTTTTCAACCAATAGCTCGATTCAAATTTCAAATTTTGGCCAATCGTCTGCTGTATTGACTTGACAGCATTTGGTTTTGACACAAGTTGTTATCAAAATATGATAATTAGCACATTGCTACTATATTCTCCATGGATATGGGTCAGTAGTGGAAATATGCTTCTAACTTTTAAAATGGACTATCACTTATACACTATATTCCATCTTCACAGGTCTCACTAAACACTAACTGCGCATAGTTACTTTCATACACTGAGGAATCTTGTGAAGCTTTGGACTTTGTTTTCAACTAAAGCAAAATATCAACAACGAGCCATCGTACTACAGGTGCAGTGAGTCGTAGTTTTTTAAAAGAATTATAGTTGTGTTATTGCGTTGTTTCTTTCGCGTCGTATTGTATTTGTTTTGAAATAGCGCTGTTTGGATTTAAGTGTTGATATTATGTAACATAAAGTGTTTATTGTTGCCTGTGTATTGTATATGCTAAGAAGGTGTATTCAATATAGATAGTTTAAGCTTTATCTACCTCCCCTTGTATTTAGCGTGAGTTAGTTGTCTATTGTAATACAGTACAGTATATGTCTGTCTTTGGTATTTTAATAAATCACTCCACAAGTTTATTATTCTTTCATAATTATGATGCAAAACCTTTAAAAAATTGATAGTTAAAATGCGTATTGGATAAAGGCTCTTCAAATGTAAACGACTGGTGTTTTTGTAGATGGACATTTTTTGAGCAGAAGATTATTGTCAATTTTCAGACCTACTAATGAGGAACAGTTGTGAAAAATGTAACTGTAAGAATTGAACATTTAACTCTGATAGGAATTGGACATGCAGCTCTGTGATTCTGGTGCAGTACTCTATATAATCTGCCACTTAAAATTTCCATCTATAAAAAGTCTATAGCCACACTTAGTTGTATCGAACGAAATGCCTAAAATCTTGTTATTTCCACAATATCATGTTTCCAACTTTCGGCTCAAGACCCTTGGGATGCACTCTCCAGCTTTGTGGGTCCCTTTTGGGCTTGGGGCAAAATGCCCTCTCTGCCCCCCACCTCGACTGCCCCCACCTCGACTGCCCCCCACCTCGACTGCCCCCCACCTCGACTGCCGCGGTCATGTTCATAGGGGGCGCTTTCCATTAACATGGCCAGAACGGTCAAATTGTTGAATGGAACACAAAACATTTGGTCTTCGGACCTATCTAACCGGAAAATTTAGATAACATTAGAATGAGGTCCATTTTCGCTAGATATTTGAGAAACATAGACCAGATCTTTCCATTGATACAGAGAAAAGAATTCGGGTCTGACGGGTCAGGCTATTGAATGTGGAAAGTGCCCGTAGTAAAGACAGTTCTCATAACAAGCTTTTGTCTCTGCTTTGAACTAACTGAGAATATTTTAACCTTGTCAACCATGGCAGATTATTGTAGAATACTTCTTGTACAGTACCTACACTGGGTCTTAGATATGAACTTCTTATAATGTAGTGAAAGAAATTGTCAATGTTAGTCTAGTATCAGAGTTGATTCCGTGAAGCCTAATTCAATCATAATCTGAGAGATATCTGATCCACTTGTATGCGAACACTCGTGTAAATATTGGTGCACCAAAAACGATGACAGAATAACACTTTTAACTCCTTGAAATTCACAGTGTATGTTATCCAGATCTGAACTCACAAATACGTGCAGAAGATTTTAAATTTTTCATGGCTTGAAATAACAGCCGATCACCGATCAATGATCGGCACGAAATTGCTTATGATCGGCGGAAAAGCAGGGTTTCCAACCTGAAAAAGCAGGGAAAGTCATGACTGCCGATCACCATGGTCGGGAACTTTGGGAACGTTATTTCAAACCCTGGTTTTGTACATTGGTGTATGGAGGGTAATGTTTGAGCTGTAGTTGCTCCAGCCCTCAACAAAAATCCGGAAAATTTTAGTCCTAATCACTGGAGAATTTGAAACACTTGAAACACTGTGGAAATTTAAAAAAAAAATTTCACACTTCCATGCATAGATAGCATAGTATATGGATATTTTACAGAAATAGCGTGGAAATTTCAAATAAAACCTATAGAAAACCATCGAAATGGTTTTCGTGGAAATGCAAATTTTCCAAGTGATCATTGATATTGTAATGCAGTAATATTGTTTGTCTCTCAAGGTCAAAACCAAAATTGTCGGAGTTCAGGAAACATAAAATATTCGCACATCGCTGTATGCGGCGTAGAATGCGTGTATAGTTGCTCCAGCATTCTTGCCCCATAAAATTCCAAGAAAACTGATAGGAAATCCTGAAAATGTGTTGCATGACTCGCTTCGAAATGAAACTCATGTTCCACTTGAAATGTGTTAAGCCCCCAATGAAACGAGTTGATGAGAGTTGCCAGTCACGCACCGCCACAGGGGACATTTCAAGCTCTAGATTCACAAAATAAAGGATTGATGAATGTTCTAAATACGTTTTAACTTCAATAGAATACATGATAGTGTTGGGAAAGCATTAAGAACATGGTCGCGCAGCAGCCCATCTCGTTTGATGGGGAAGGTTCATTCAGGTCAAGAACATGTATTGTGTTGCAATATTAATCTACTTAAGCAATGTTTCTTATTGTTCAAAATCTTTCATGCATATCTTGTTGAGGCAACAAAGACAATTGCGGCTACAATAACATAGCCGTGTATGCAGATTTTCCAGCCTTAAGACCTGAAGTAAAGTCCCATTCAATCGATGATCCCAGCAATTGACTTATTGTTGGTCCAGACAAGAAGGACGAAATCTATCATTATAGCTTAAAAGAGCATCCAAAAGAGCATCCATGTTGTAAAATACGGATTGTACATCCATGTTGTAAAATACGGAAAATACAATATACATGCATACGAACTGCTTATTGTTTGCTAGCTGTAATAAGTTACTTACTAACTCTACATTCTATCATCATAATTGCCCTGCCGATCGGGATGATTCGTATTATTTGGGGGAGGGGGGTGCCACGCACCCCCATACCCCCTCAAGTTTCGCCCCCTGTAATTTTGCTTAGTAAACGGTTGAAAATTACTTTGTTATTGAGCCTAAAAACAGCAAGAAACAAATTTGTCCAGGAAAACATGGGAATATAAGATCTTTATCTGCCCCTGACATGCTAAAATAAGTAAACATGGAAACGAGGCCATTGGGTGAAAGAGAATAATCGGTAAGGTCTATTGTATCCCTATCGATCCAGAGCTTTCTTATAATTAGCCATTCCGAAGTTGATGAGCGGACTGGGGACGAGTGTTAAAAAGTGCCCAAATTAAGAAATGAACCAAATCACTAGAAAGACCACCTCAAAATTAATAAGTATACAAAGTTTGAAGACGTTTACATAAATACCCTTCGAATAATAAGCTTTCGAAAATTGTGAAATTACTGATTAAAAGATTGTTTTTGGGACGCGCGTCCCCAAAACACAAATTACAATATACATTTCATAGTAAATATCGCGATTTACGAAAGCTTATTATTCGAAGGGTATTCGTGAAAACGTCTTCAAACTTGGTATACGTACTAATTTTGAGGTGGCCTTTTTAGTGATTTGGTCCATTTCCTAATTAGGGCACTTTTTAACACTCGTCCCCAGTTATCTCATCAACTTCGGAATGGCTAATTGGCATTATCAACACGGCACAGTCAGTAACAAGGACGGATTTTCATTTTTTTAAAGGAGGGCTGGAACTGAATTTCTAGTGGGGTGCAAGCAGCACCACTGAGCGACTTCGGCAGGGGTTAGGCGTTAGGGTTAAATACTTTCACACAAAATAGGAGGGGGTTGAACACTTTATAAAATGGGTTCAAGAGATTGTAGGGGGGTTTCAACTCCCCCTAACCACCCCCCCGCAGTAAATGCGCCCGTGGTCAGTAGTGAGAATCTACCACAAAAGACGTTCATTTCGAGACTGTTTTCTACGCTGAAAACGTTCCAACAGTCTAAAGTTTTTGTATGAATCAATCACAAAAACTATACGATCCTGGTGTAATGTACTCAGGTGAATAAGATGCTTGTGTGATGTTACTCTGAGTGTATATCCACACCGAGCAGGCTTGAAAAAATATGCCTGGCCACGGTGGGATTCGAACCTACGACCTTTGGAATACTAGCCCAATGGCAATGCTTTGCCAACTGAGCTACGCGGTCAGGTCGGTTCGAGTATGCGATATTTCGGAACTGAGCCTATAGTTCCTTCGATATCAGTGTAATCTAATAATCATGATATTTGCTGTGTTGGTGTAATGTACTCAGGTGAATAAGATGCTTGAAGCATCAGTTGGCAGAGCATTGGGCTAGTATTCCAAAGGTCGTAGGTTCGAATCCCACCGTGGCCAGGCATATTTTTCAAGCCTGCCCGGTGTGGATATACACTCAGAGTAACATCACACAAGCATAACACTGTAAATTTGAAGGAATTGAATCAGCTCCAAAAGTGATCATCTGTCACCAAAATCGGTGACAAAATAACGCTTTTGGAGTTGAACTCCTTCAAATTTACTATGAAGACTGCTGTATTACTAGATCGATGCAGTAGCAATGTCCAAACAGGTTTTTAGTCAAGCCTTTCGATTTTCTAACAGGTTGTATTGTTTCGTCTGCCTCTCATTACCCGGGCCCATATTATCGAAAAAGATTAACCTCATTTTTAATTCATAACTTTCATTCATCGACACTTCGACCAGCTTTATGTTGTGGCAGAAATCAATCTAATTGCATTTCACACGTTTCAACTGTTTATAATTTCGTGCGACATAACTATGGATTGTTTCCAGTTGGTCGTTTCCAGAAACCGCGCGGAAATATGGCTAATATTGTAAGATTATTTATTTGTTGTCATAGCGCAGTCGTATTATTGTCTGTCCCGCTTTGTTTGTCATAATATTTAAGTCGTGTTTGCTTCAAATTGGATAATATTTTTTATACCTTTAGTTTGTTTATAGTGGTGCAATGTAATTCTGAAAATCTTGCAGGTTTATACCGTTGTGTTGACATGAAAGAAGTCTGTACAATTGTCAGTTTATTTAAGAATCGTGCATGTATATACAGTATTTAACGAGTGTTTAACGAGTGTTTAATACGCTTTGATTGTTACTTTATACAACAATTAACACCTCGTCATGTTCGCATGTACGTGTTTAACTTCAACATGTAAATGGATGCCCGTTTACACTTGGAATTTTTTCTACGATTTCTAGTGGGATTTTCGTCTTCTTCTTCATGTGAACGAGTAGATGAACTAAGTAAAAGTAGTAAAAGTGCCCTCAACTGAACATTCATCTAACTTATCCACTTGTTCACATACAGCAGAAGAGGAAAATCGCAAGAAAAATTGTGCAAACGGCGGGGCTTAAGAATCGTGCGGATGCAAAAGTATTTAACGAGTGTTTAATACGCTGTGATTGTTACTTTACAACAATTAACACCTCGTTACAGTCAGATGTACGTGTTTAGCTTGGAGATGTAAGGCGTTTTGTATTGTCACTCTGAGTTGTACGTAAGAGACGTAGGGTTTTAAGAGAGCGAGGGCATCCATTTTTTTCTCCCAAAAGTTAGAAGTGAACGTTTCAAACGGTCCTTTTTTAATAGATGTCTGTTTAATTATTTTTAACAACGATGCACACAGATGCAACTTGTATATTAACCTTAATGCTATACCTTGACTCATTATAAAATTATTGTTAGCTATAATGGACCTAGCTATTCCCTAATGAACAAAATTTTGATCTAGACAAGTCTAGACAAACATTTCACCACAGCTTGAAAAAGCATCACAAAATTAGTAATATTCCGAAGTTTTGTTGCGAAATGTTGTGAAATGCCGATAATATAGCCTTGCGAAGTTTGCCGTTTTTCAGTCATTTTGTATTACGCACGGGAAATTGATACCTTTTTTCAGAAAGCGGTATCAATTTCCTGTGCGTAATACAAAATGACTGAAAAACGGCAAATGTACCGCAGTGCTATATCATCCGCATTTTGCAACATTTCGCAACGAAACTTTGGAATATTACTAATTTTGTGATGCTCTTTCAAGCTGTGGTAAAATGTTTGTCTAGACTTGTCCAGATCAAAATTTTGTTCATTAGGGAATAGGTCCGTAGTTAGTACATGATTGCTGTAATTGTATCTGTATTATTGTAAAGACACACATATGTTGTGATTCTAATAATTCTCATTAACAACGGTATATTTTTTTATCTAGATATCTGGCATGAGATAACGATAGCAAGAAGATCATGATGTGGGACCAAAGTCATAAATCACTCACTGATATGTTGCAAGTAGATCCAGGAGTCAACCAGTTTGGTGGTCCTAACCTCATGAACGACTTTCTACCCAAAACTGAACTCGACCCGGATGGCTCGATGGGCATGTACGGGGGACCTATGTCTGGTCCTGGTGGGCCCAATATGGGTCCAAATATGGGCGGTCCGAATCTTGGACCTAATGTGCCTGGCCCTACTAATGTGAGCATGGGACCACAGTTGTCACAGCACAGTAAGTCTATGGTTGTTTTTTTTTGCAAAAAACACAATGCGAAGATTAATGCCCGTATTCTAAAAGCTCACTCAAACTCACACTCAATGAGTGGAGATTGAATCTGAGCTTCTCTTGAGTATCGATGCTGTTTTTGAATAGCTGGAGGGTTAGTGTCGTATCTTATGTGACTACTCACCCTCCAGCTATTCAAAAACAGCATTGACACTCAAGAGAAGCTCAGATTCAACCTCCACTCTTTGAGTGTGAGCTTTTAGAATACGGGCGTAACACTTTGGAAATCAAGATATCAAAACACAAGAAAATTCCTATTAATCCAGACAAAATTTCAATTTTCATTTTATAAGCAAGCTATTAGGTCTTAAGGAAGTTTGCTTTGAATTTTAGATTAGCCTAGGGTTAATCTTTCAAAGAACAGGCCCCACATATTATACGTAAATGTTTTATTTGCCAATGCTTTGGCACTACAACATTTGTTAGCCTTTGTTTATTTTAGTTTCGAGCTGGGTTATATAACCTTGCATGCCTACTTGTTTGTATAAACATATCTCTTATGTATAAACTTATGTAAACATTCCAAGCACATGTTTACTAATCACAGTTTAAAAATACAGTGATTACCGTTAAATTACACCTCATCATTGCAATCACAATTATAACCCTTGTTGTAATTTGTAACCATTATCCTTCACCTAATATTCACCTTATCCTAACTTTCATTATATTCGTAACCCTAATTCTAATCTTACTTAAACTTAATCACAACGCATAGACGGTGTGCACCCCCCCCCCCCCAAAAAAACCAAAAACAATAATTTGCTTCCCCCCAAAGAAATTTCCACCCCACCTAGAGAAATTTGCACCCAATAGTAGTTTGATTGAAATAAGGATTTCGAACTATAAAGTAAGACTAAACACGAGGAGTTTGAATTTAAATTTTCCTGATGATGACAAAAACATATAATAGTTGAAATGTAAACTATATTAACAATTTTCTGAGTTGTTTTGTACAGCAGTGACTCTAATCTTGTGTTTTAGATGCGGGAATGCCTCTTAGCATGGAAAGACATATCCAGCAAACGAATGAACGCCTGATGTGTATAAAACAACATTTATCAACACCTCAGGGATTTCAGAATGCTGCAAGAGAACTTTTGGAGTGGTGTAGTGACGTCAGAGCGTTCCAGGCTCCATTTGAGGCTAATCTGATGGGCTGCTTAACTGTAAGAATCTTTGATGTCAGGGTTTTTTCAGGGATTTTTTACGGCCCAAAAACTCAATCTTGAATTGAGTTTTGGAACTCAATCTTCTCACCAAAGTTTCAGTGCAGTAAAAGTGAAGTTGTTTGAGTTAAATTTCGTGACGTGTGGACGGGAGAAACGATGTGGTGTTTGCTATAAGGCTGACTTTATGTGACACATCTAACGTCGCAATAAGCTTTCACGTTGCTGCAAAGACGTGATAATGCTTAGCTTAACGTCGTATTGAGAATAACAACGCTATTGAGGACACCCCTGAGACCACAAATTATTAATAGTTTTTATCTTGCAGGTTGTGAGTCGTGTTGCTGCCACGCCCGGTTATGACCTGCATCTTGGTAAGTTTCAGCTTTTGCCTGAACTAACTTTATTTATATTTGATAGCTCTATCAGTTCTAAACTGTTCTTCCTAGAGGTCCAGTAAGAGTCATCTCTTGTTGATCCAGTGTTACTACAGGAGGAAACCTAAACTAAACTAACTTTATTTATACTGGATAGCTCTATCAGTTCTAAACTGTTCTTCCTAGAGGTCTAGTAAGAGTCATCTCTTATTGACCCACTGTTACTACAGGAGGAAACCTAAACTAAACTAACTTTATTTATACTGAATAGCTCCATCAGTTCTAAACTGTTCTCCCTAGAGATCCAGTAAGGATCATCTCTTATTGATCCAGTGTTACTACAGGAGGAAACCTACACTAAACTAACTTTAATTATACTGAATAGCTCTATCAGTTCTAAACTGTTCTTCCTAGAGATCCAGTAAGGATCATCTCTTGTTGATCCAGTGTTACTACAGGAGGAAACCGGGGGAAACCTACGATGTTCGTTAGAGTCAAACTGGAAGCACTCTTCTCACATGAGACTGAAGTGAAATTATAATCAGACAACTGCAATATCCATGAATCTAACTTTAGTCCCAGAAGTGTAAGTCTATTAAGCACTGTGCCACCAAACCTCTATAAAGATCAGCTTTTTTTGTAAACTATATAATTTCTATCAGTTGATATATCATGAATTATACGTTAATAATTTTAGGGTATCGACTGCTGGCTGTTTGTGCCGCTCACAAGGAGAAATTTTCGCCCAAGTCCATGAGTTTACTGGCCATGTGGAGTGAAGAACTAAGCCGTTTCTTGCTACTCAAACATCCACAGACACCGAAACAAACTCATAAAAAGCCGGTTAATGGGTAAATATATAACATTTTAATTTTATGAAGTAAATTCTACATGATGTTCTCCAAGTGATGTCCACACCAGGCAAGTAGAAAACTACTTGATCATGGTGGGATTTGTACTCAGGTAGATTATATATATTGAATGATGTTCTCCAAGTGATGTCCACACCAGGCAAGTTGAAAACTACTTGATCATGGTGGGATTTGTACTCAGGTAGATTATATATATTGGATGATGTTCTCCAAGTGATGTCCACACCAGGCGAGTAGAAAACTACTTGATCATGGTGGGATTTGTACTAAGGTAGATTATATATATTGGATGATGTTCTCCAAGTGATGTCCACACCAGGCAAATAGAAAACAACTTGATCATGGTGGGATTTGTACTCCAAGTGATGTCCACACCAGACAAACTACTTGATTAAATTAGGCTACACACCCTCAGTACGTAGGCTTGTAGATTAAATACCTTCGTGAATAACTTTTCATGCTAGTATCACCGATGCTTATTGTGTTCAACCCGCGCAAATAAAAAAAAGGAAAGCAATATTGTCCTTTGAATATATAATCGCCCCGACATTTTTCCTGTGCGTAATAGCCTAAGTGTCTACACGAAATATGCCTGCTGGTCGTGAAATACAAAATGAACCTCGCTTTTAACTTGGAGGGCTTTCTATTTCATTATGAAATATCAGTCAAGGTAAGTACATCATGTTGTCTGACTGAGTTGAGCCAGGGCAGTCGTGATTGTAGTAAGCTTTACGATTTTTAATGTTTTACTTTGCTATGCTCTGACGATTTTCACATGTTCTCAAGCTATGTACTTTTGAGAAATTATCTAAAGGAAGCCTTTGACATTTCGTCGAGTTTTATTAAGCACTGTCGTACAACAGATGCTGGCCAACTTGCAGTTAACAGAGTGAGAAAATTTATAATGTAAATTCATGTCATAGATATCAGTATACTGTATAGTCTTGTATTTGCTAGCAAATAAATAAAAGAGAGTTGTAGTTTAGTTTGTTTCCTGCTGTATGTCTCCCATTTGTGAAGCGGTTGACATCTATCCTTTTCCTATAATCAATCATCGAATGCTTGAACAATTGTCGAGTTGTGGTTGTTATAAGGCCGAAGTCGCTTAATGTTGCGTTATTGCGAAATATTATTAAGAGCTTCTTCCGCGAGTTTGCGTCTGACAATTGTACTCGTGCTGAGGTGTATAGATTGTTATCTCAAAAGTATGTCCATGACATTGATATCGCTTGAAGATCACGCAATATATATATTTTCTATCCCTTTATACAAATCTCTTAGTTTTCAATAATCGCTGTATACAACGTATAGTTTCAACAAGCCGATATCGGGCTGTGTTCACACAATGCTTGTATTCAATTATCACAATGCTACGAGAATACCTCTCACCTCGAGAGACTTCAAAATTACCGAGGGGGGGAAATAATCTTAAGCAGAAATATAAACTTTGAGGCTTGAAAAGACGGAAAATGTTCCCTCTTGAAAGGTTTTTATGTTTCGCCTTAATGCTTTTCGGAGAACTGTGACGCATGCTACAGACTTAATAACATTAGGAACACATTAATTAAAATACATCTGTCAGTTCATTCAGCTCTATGTAAAAAACTACCTATAATAATATGAATTAGCATTATTTTCTCATTCTGATAACTGATGGTTGAATACGATGTCACAGAATGAAGACACACAGAAGGTCGACTCAGTCAAGAAAGCATAACCGCGGCCACGCCATGATTCGTCATTAAATGAGAAGTCGGGCTTCTGTATAGTCTCTATTCTGTGACGATGTGCTCCTACTATTTCAGAGATCTTAATGCACTTATGATTTTACTAATACAGAGATCGTAATGCACTTATGATTTTAATATTTCAGAGATCTTAATGCACTTATGATTTTACTTTTTCAGAGATCTTAATGCACTTATGATTTTACTAATACAGAGATCGTAATGCACTTATGATTTTACTATTTCAGAGATCTTAATGCACTTATGATTTTACTTTTTCAGAGATCTTAATGCACTTATGATTTTACTTTTTCAGAGATCTTAATGCACTTATGATTTTACTATTTCAGAGATCTTAATGCACTTATGATTTTACTTTTTCAGAGATCCTAATGCACTAATGATTTTACTATTTCAGAGATCTTAATGCACTTATGATTTTACTTTTTCAGAGATCCTAATGCACTCATGTGGCCCATGCAACAACAGCAACCACCTCAACCATCTGTATCTGTGGTGACAACAGTATGGGGTGTTGCATCGTCCACCAGTCAAGCTCAGCTCCCTACAGAGAACATGCTGCCTCCTCCAAATCCAAGCTCAAATGCTGGCCAGATCATGAACCAACAACCTTATGGTAATCCAGGGATGATGAATTCTGGGAATAAGCCCTACCAACAGCCAGGTATGTTGATGGTAGTGATGATGGTGCTGGTGGTGAAGATGATGGTGCTGGTAGTGATGGTGATGATGGTGATGATGATGGTGATGATGATGGTGCTGATGATGGTGGTGGTGATAATGGTGATGGTGGTGATGATGATGATGGTGGTGATGATGGTGGTGATGATGATGGTGCTGGTAGTGGTGATGATGATGGTGCTGGTCGTGGTGATGGCACTGGTAGTGATGGTGCTGGTAGTGGTGCTGGTAGTGGTGCTGGTAGTGGTGATGGTGCTGGTAGTGGTGATGATGGTGCTGGTAGTGGTGATGATGGTGGTGATGATGGTAGTGATGGTGATGATGATTGTGTTAATAGTGATGGTATTGGTGGTGCCCTGGTGATGATGGTAATGGTGTGAATAATCTGTTGATGGTATTATAATCCTACATTTTACTTACACATAGGTTTTCCAGGCAATCAATTCCCTCCAAGAAGGATGACAGCAGATGCTGCCCGCAACACAGGAGGGTACCCCTCAACCCCAAGCACACCACAAGCAGGTCCTCAATCCAACCCCTTCCACTACCCACACTCTGGCCCACCAAACGCAACACCTTTCCCCACTACTCCAGCCCAAATACCAGCTCAAGCTCAAAACAGTCAATATACGGGAAGCGGACCAGCGGCAGCCGCGGCTGCGGCAGCTGTTGCGGCGGCTGCCGCTACTGCAACCGCGACTGCAACGGCAACTGCAACGGCTTCTGCTATACAAGACCCCGATGTTGGTAGGTTGTTCTTAAATTCACTTCTTAATGCAACGATGTTAGTAGTTTACCCTTCATAAAATGTTGTCTGGTTTACATTATCAAGTTTCTGTGGTATCAACCACGTAATTTCGAGTATAAATCAAACATTGGTAGTGCTCAGCAACCATTCCGAAAAATGTTGACCAATTCATTTCCTAACTTGAAGGAACACCTCTGAACAATTCCTCAACAATTTGATAAGTTCCTTAATTAAAAAGTTCCTAACTTCCTGTTTCATTGACCAATCAAATTTTATAGTTTTATTTTTGAGCAATCTGATTGGTCAATGAAACAGGAAGTTGGGAACTTTTTAAGGAACTTATCAAATTGTTGAGGAATTGTTCAGAGGTGTTCTTTCAAGTTAGGAAATGAATTGGTCAAGATTTTTCGGAACGCTTCTATTGGCACGACTGTAACACACATTATGCAGTTGTCTGATTATAATGATCACTTCAGTCACATGTGAGAAGAGTGCTTCCAGTTTGACTCTACCAAACACCACAGCTTTTCTTCATTACTTATATACTCCAGTTTCCTCCTGTAGTGACACTAGGCCAATAAGAGATGATCCTTACTGAACCTCTAGGAAGAACAATTTAGAAGTGATAGAGCTATCCAGTATAAATAAAGTTAGTTTAGTTTAGGTTTCCTCCTGTAGTAACACTGGATCAATAAGAGATGATCCTTACTGAACCTCTAGGAAGAACAGTTTAGAACTGATAGAACTATCCAGTATAAATAAAGTTAGTTTAGTTTAGGTTTCCTCCTGTAGTAACACTGTATCAATAAGAAATGATCCTTACTGAACCTCTAGGAAGAACAGTTTAGAACTGATAGAACTATCTAGTATAAATAAAGTTAGTTTAGTTTAGGTTTCCTCCTGTAGTAACACTGGATCAATAAGTGATGATCCTTACTGCACCTCTAGGAAGAACAGTTTAGAACTGATAAAGCTAAGATCTAGTGTAAATAAAGTTAGTTTAATTTCCATATACAATCGTTGAAACGTTAATTGAGCGAACTTTCATACAAAATAAATCGTTTTCAGATGGTGGCTTTGGATACGACCAAAACCCCACCCAATTTCAAGCCCAAGCTCAGACCCCTGGCAATCACCCTCAACAACCCCCACCGCCTTACTCAAAGAACCCGTATCCCCAAGGCTACGGTAATAAGCCCCAGTACCCCGGGCCGTACCAAGGGAACCCTAACCAGAATCAGATGGCCAACCCTGGCATGAAATCTCCCATGATGAACAGACAACAATTTATGCAGCAATTCATGAGAAAACTACCACAACAGCCTAACCCGAGTATGACCACTAACATGGTCAATATGATGAGTCATGGTGGGTTTAATAACAAACCTAACTTTCCAAACCAGGTAGGTACTAATGGGTGATCCAGCTATGGACGAAATTTTGATCTAGACACGAACGAAATCCAACACCATACCTAGAAAGAGCATGTTAAAATGAGTAAAACTGCAAAGTTTGGTTGCTAAAGGTTGTAAAATGAAGAAATTATCGCCCTGTGAAGTTCGCAAATTTTGTATATATTTGTATTAGGCGCGGTAAAAATAACCACTTTCCGCTCAAAAATGGTTATTTAACTTATTTTCCCGCGCGTAATGCAAATATATACAAAATTTGCGAACTTCACAGGGCTATATTTTCCTCATTTTACAACCTTTAGCAACCAAACTTTGCAATTTTACTCATTTTAACATGCTCTTTCTAGAGGTGTTGGATTTCGTTCTTCTTGCCTGGGTCAAAATTTCGTCCACAGCTGGAATGACCATTAATATGAATTAACTGTTTATTAGTATGTTTGTTGGTGCATTCCAGTATATGATGGTCAATGTTGACATTTCTAGCAAGTAGCAACAAGAAAATGAAATACTACAACTGTCAAAGCTACTGTATAGTTGACTATAAGCTCACTTTGATAACATTCTATATATTTATTTATTTATTTATTTATTAACTTTACAATCATACAAAATTATAACAATGATTGAAGGTATGGTCAACAGGACACGAGTCCCATGTGAAGACTCGAGTATTTATAAAGAATTTTGTTTTTATTTTAGGCGCAAGTTAGTATGCAGAAGAACACATATAAGGACATAAAGGTATTTTAAAATACACTAAATTTCTACTCTTGGTTTAAAACATGAGTAGCAGTGTTTTATTAGACAAAACACGCACTGCGAATGTTTTAAATTGCTTCAAAAATGATGGATCTAGTAAGATCATTTGCGAAGTAATTTTCAAAAAATACGTTGTGTAAGTCGAGAAAATCAAAGTTAAAGTTTATGTAAATCAAGGGAAATCTCTATCACATATAAAGATACGACACGCTTATGATTTTTTTCTCATGAATTATTGAGTTTTTGAAAATACTTTCATTAATGTACCATCCTTGGAAAGTCCTTGAATTTGACTCTCTCTGACATTTTTTTGGCCTTACCTTTCATAAAACGTTGTCTGGTTTACATTATCACGTTTCTGTGGTATCAATGTGCGCACCCTGTACTCAACATAGATATCTTATATACACTAGATAGTGCATCTAATTATTCTGCAATTCCAAAATTGAAGCCGTGATTGCAGTCTCAGGTCGTTCCCATGAAATGAGAAGATTCGTATGTTTTCTATTTCTTAAACAGGGAACTTGAATATTAAGTTAACCCTATTCCAAATACGTTTTTAAACTATTCAAATAATGAAAGTTAGTGTTGTTTTTAAGCGTTTATTAGCAAGTGGGAACGACCAACATGGCCGCCATCTATTCAAATGGGGGTAACCGCTGGAATATTCTTGGCTTCAATTTTACTAAATGAGATGCGCTATCTAGTGTATATAAGATATCTATGGTACTCAACCATAATTTTTTAAACCTTTTTAGCCACCACCCAGCTACCCTAACATACCAAATTACCCATCCGGCTTTCCCCAGAACTCCAACTTTCATAACCCAAACGGCCCTTCACCCAACTTCAACCCCAACCTGGCTCCTCAATTTCGGTCTGATATAAAACCCAATATCCAGAACATTCAAAGCATCCAACAACAGGCTATGGTTCCTAACAGTATGAGGTACCCGACGCCCGTGAGTAATACCCTACCGAGCGGTATGATGTCTCCAGTCCCGTCTCCGTTTGATGTGAATCAAGGTGGAATGGGGCACAGTAATGTCGGTGGTGGTGGTGTGATGTCGCCTTTTGATCAGCAAGATGTGAAACCACGAATGCCACCAAGTATGATTACGTCTCTTATTGACAGGATGAAATGTACGGTTGTCTGATTAATATAATCTTCTCACCTCAGTCGTATGTGAGAAGAGTGCTTCCAGTTTGACTCTACCAAACACCGAGTTGTCTCCGGGTGCTCCGGTTTCCTCCTGCAGTAACACTGGATCTATAAGAGATGATCCTTACTTGACCTCTAGGAAGAACAGTTTAGAACTGATAGAACTGGCCAGTATAAAAAAAGTGAGTTTAGTTTAGGTTTCCTCCTGCAGTAACACTGGATCTATAAGAGATGATCCTTACTTGACCTCTAGGAAGAACAGTTTAGAACTGATAGAACTGGCCAGTATAAAAAAAGTGAGTTTAGTTTAGGTTTCCTCCTGCAGTAACACTGGATCTATAAGAGATGATCCTTACTGGACCTCTAGGAAGAACAGTTTAGAACTGATAGAACTGGCCAGTATAAAAAAAGTGAGTTTAGTTTAGGTTTCCTCCTGTAGTAACACTGGGTCAATAAGAGATGATTCTTACCGAACCTCTAGGAAGAACAGTTTAGAACTGATAGAGCTATCCAGTGTAAATAAATTTGGGGCCGCTGTAATTGGCAATAGCTGTTGTGGTTTCCCAGCCAATGAATGTATAAGTCAGTGATGGCAAAGTAAATAAATAAAAGAAATGGTTTCTATTCTCTTGCCAGATGACAACGATCAACTTCGACTAACATTTCCAGTTCGTGACGGAATAATGCTGCCGCCATTCCGTCTTGAACATAACCTTTCTGTTAGTAATCACGTGTTTCATTTACGTGAATCTGTTCACCACACATTGCTATGGAGGTAAGTTTGGAATATCTTTGTTTCACCACCATCATCATCTGTCCACCACCACCATCATCATTACCACCATCATCATTACCGTCACTAGTACCACCATTATCACCATGACCTTCGCTACAAACACAACCTATTATAATCAACTATCATTCTCATCTGTCCACCACCACCATTACCATCACCACTACCATCATTACCGTCACTGGTATCACCATCATCACCACAACCTTCACCACCAACACAACCTATTATAATCACCATCATTCTCATCTGTCCACCATTACCATCACCACTACCATGATTAACGTCACTGGTATCACCATCATCACCACAACACAACCTATTATATCATCACCATTATTCTCATCTGTCCATCATCATCACCGCTACCATCATCACCAATACCATCGCCACATCTAAACCTGTTTTTTCCTGGTCAACAGGTCTGATCTGGAACTTCAGTTCAAGTGTTATCATCACGAAGAAAAGCAACAGCACACCAACTGGCCAGCGTCCGTCTCTGTGAGTGTTAATGCAACACCGCTGACAATAGAAAGGGTACGTCTGATATAACTGCTGACTATTGTGAACCTATAAACTTAATTTGTCTTCTGTTGATAGCGATGCAACTATCTGAAAAATCCAAGGAAAACTTCGGCGTTTCGAGCCCTTAGTCGAGAAGAAGTTCTCCTTGTATTTTTCAGGTAGTTGCGTCGCTGTCAAGAGTGTCAAGCGAAGTTTTGTTATTATTGACATTGCCTGCACTGGCACACAAGATTTTAAACTTAACTTGTGTATTGAACGTATAAAAATCGTCAACTAAACTGTATTTGTGAATTTTTAGGGAGATAACAAAACATCTCACAAACCACTTCATCTCAAAAATGTTTGTCGACCTGGTCGAAACACGATTCAAATTACAGTTACGGCCTGCTGTTGTGTATGTATTGTTCAAGACTATATTTCACAGTGTTGCTGTGTTGGTCACACAGTGGTTAGGGCATGGCCTTTCTTCTTGGGGTTTGGGATTCGATTTCTGCAATATACAGTTGTACGATTATAATTCTACTTCAGTCGCACAAGAGAAGATTGCGTCCAGTTTGACTCTACCAAACATTGCAGGTTTTCGTTGAGTAGGATTGCCTTCACTGGACCTCTATGGAGACCAGTTTAGAACTGATTGAGCTATCCTGCCTATCCAGTATAAATAAAGTTAGTTTAGTTTAGGTTTCCTCCTGTAGTAACACTGGATCAATAAGAGAGGACCCTTACTGGACCTCTAGGAAGAACAGTTTAGAACTGATAGAGCTATCCAGTACAAATAAAGTTAGTTTAGTTTAGGTTCCCTCCTGGAGTAACACTGGATCAGTAAAAGATTATCCTTACTGGGCCTCTAGAGAGAATAGTTCAGAACTGGTTGAGCTATCCAGTGTAAATAAAGTTAATTTAGTGTTCATATATTTCTTATATATTTCTTTTGCAGTCTCATTTATTCGTCTTACAACTGGTCCATCGCCCATCAGTGAAGTCAATACTTGATGGTCTTTTAACAAAACGACTCTTACCTGCTGCTCATTGTATCACAAAAAGTAAGTGTGCTGTTATTCAGTTGGTCGCTTGTGTTTGGCGACTCAATCAGTGATGATCTTTTCTCCATCTTGCAGTCAAACAACACTTTGCTTCGCCGCAAAATCTCGGAGTGAACGACGATGGAGTCGAACAAACAGCTATCAAAGTATCGTTAAAATGTCCGATCACTCAACGACGAATTACGCTACCTGCCCGAGGACATGATTGCAGGCATATACAGGTATTTATTATGCTAATTTATTCATCATCACCATTATTATCATCACCATCGTTACGACCACCATAACAAGCTTTCGTTGCAATTACCTGAAAAATATAGAGAATTTTCGCCCTTCGTCTGGAGTTTCTACCATCATAATCACCAGATTAGAAACAGAGGGAGAACTTTATTTAGTCCTGCTCTTATATACAGTATAATCTTCTATTTCAGTGCTTTGATTTGGAGTCATATCTGAAATTGAACGCAGAGCGAGGAAGCTGGAAGTGTCCTGTGTGCAAGTATGTATTTATTTATACAACCCAAGATCCAACAAACAGAGAGGAGAAGTGGCCACTTTGAACAATGGGGGTGGGGGTAGAGTGGGGCTTGTTTCGCCATTTTGCCCTTCCTACGAGGATATAAGTCCGGGATAAAGTACAAAAAGGTTAATGAAATGATATTTCTTGTTTTTAGTAAAACAGCAGTGTTGGAGTTACTGGAAGTTGATCAGTACATGTGGGGCATTTTATCCACTTTGGGAAAGTAAGTGAATGTCTTATGTTATAAAGCTATTAGGAAGATCACGTTTGACTGGGAAATCCCAAAAACATAAACTGTCTTTAATATTTTTAAACTGCATTATAAATCGTATGTATGCATTTATAAACATGCATCACGAGTTGGGCAAAGAAACATTTGCTCTGTTAGAAATATTGCACTCTCAATATAAGCCTCTCTCGTATTTAAGAGTGTCTTGTTAAACGGCATCAACTATTTCGCTGACCTCAGAATGACGTTTCGTCAAAACCTTTTTCTTCAAGATTGCTTTAGAAACAAATTTGGCATAGGGTAAGGTAAGGGTTAGGGGTTAGAGTTGGTGTTTGGAGTAGGGTTAGTGTTAGTAAAACCGTTGCTTTGTTACGTTTTGTCACCCTGAGGCCAGCGAAATAATCTCTTCCTTGTTAAACAGGGACTGGTTGTGTTGAAAGGTGGATTGGCACCAACCCTGGGTTAAAATTTAACCTGCTGTTTTAGTTCATGTATTTCTGCACGTCTGTTTATTTCAAAACTTCAGAGAAGAAATCACCCACTGGTCCAAACAAAATTTCTGAAGAAATATTTTCAAATTTATAAACAAGCTGTGGGGAAGTTTCCTTCTTCCTTCCTAGGTTAACCTAGGGTTAAACTAACCCAGCTTTGAACAACTGGCCCCAGAAGAATTGCTCACATTTTTGTAGATTGACTTTCATCTCTGTGGCTGGGGGTCCTCCTGCAATATATGCAGTTGTCTAATTGTGTTTAACCTCAGTCACATGTGAGAAGAGAGTTTCTACCAAACACCTAAGCTTTTTCTGAGTACTCGCAGTAAAACATGCTAGTTTAGTTGAAACAATTCCCGCTCTCGGTTTAAGACGTATTATTATAATTATAGAGCTGAAAGACAATCGGGACAAATGTGAGTAATACCCCCTTGTACCCTTCTTTGTACCTGTTTGTACCCTTATGCCCTTCTTTGACCCCTCTAAATGCAAGCGATATATCAATGATGAAATCCTTTGTAGTTCTGGCACAGAAGAAATCACGATTAATCCCAACAGCCAGTGGTTTGCAGTACCTGTGAAACTCGACATCAAAGAGGAAGGTTAGTGTTTGAACTTACTCAAAAAATATTATTTCATTTTTCGGCGCGCACCAAGAAATTGAGAGTTCATAACATAGTTGAGAGACCAGAGACAAATGAAAAGTTCCCTTCGCGCGAAAAAATTCGCACGGCATTAGAAAGTCTTCAACTAGGGCTATTAAGCACCATTTCCACACTTCACATTTGATTGGATGGATAGATAGATAGATAGATAGATAGATAGATAGATAGATAGATAGATAGATAGATAGATAGATAGATAGATAGATAGATAGATAGATAGATAGATAGATAGATAGATAGATAGATAGATAGATAGATAGATAGATAGATAGATAGATTGATTGATTGATTGATTGATTGATTGATTGATTGATTGATTGATTGATTGATTGATTGATTGATTGATTGAAATCTTTATTTAAACACGGTGGTTTTATCAAATGGAATAAATAATAATTATTTACAATTTGTTCTTCCTAAAAGCCGTGTATAATTTACGATATACGTACATTTTTACATTTTTTTTTTGGAATTTTTGAAAGAAAAGAGACTATTTACAATTATTCATAGAATAAGAAGAAGATAGATAGATAGATAGATAGATAGATAGATAGATAGATAGATCGATCGATAGATAGATAGATAGATAGATAGATAGATAGATAGATAGATAGATAGATAGATAGTTTAATTAAAAAGTTTACATTGCAGCTTGTAAAACCTGAATTGCGTAATCTATTTACAAGCTATTATAACACGAATTTAAAATTACATTAGATGCTAAGTTTAGATATAAGACAGTTCAAGAAAATTTTTAACTACAAAGGTCAAATTGTTTTAAGACTTGCACATCGAAGGAATAAAAGTCCGCTTAAAGCGTTCAGTGCGTATCATTGGAATATTGAAGACTCGCTTCTTTCTAATGTCGTAGTTTTCCTCTTGCAAAGGAGGTAAAAGATTGTGTAACTTATGAGATTCCGAACTCTTGTTTGAAAAAAATTTGAAAAAATTTTCTCTTGCAGGTCATCCAACGAAACGTCAGAAGACATGTGACAACCACCCTGGTCCGATCAACAGTCCTACTATGAACAGAGGAGGGGGCTTCCCATCCCTCCCCGCTCCTGTGAGCATGTCATCTGGTGCTCCCACAGACACGATAAAAACCTCCAATCCAAACCCTCCTATGCTTGGGCGAAGTAACAGTTCCGGGAACATCAGTAATCAAGGTATGTGACTGCGCTGGAATTCTAGTAAAGGAATACTTGGGAATATTTTCCGCAGATAGAAAATTTTGTAAAATGTGATTTTTGGCCGATACAAATTTTCCGTCGGAAAAAAATTTTGAAGTTGAAAATTTTCAACTTTTAACAATGATATTTTCGGAAAATTTTCTGTCCGTGGAAATTTTTCGTGAGTGGAAATGGGCCTCAACTGTAACACAGGAAAAATAAGGGATCACTCTTCGATCTCTAGGGAGAACAGCTAGAGGTATCCAGTATAAATAAAGTTAGTTTAGTTTAGGTTTCCTCCTATAGTGTACACTGGATCAATAAGAGATGATCCTTACTGGACCTCTAGGGAGAACAGTTTAGAACTGATAGAGCTATCCAGTATAAAGTTAGTTTAGTTTAGGTTTCCTTCTGTAGTAATACTGGATCAATAAGAGATAATCCTTGCTGGACCTCTAGGGAGAACAGTTTAGAACTGATAGAGCTATCCAGTATAAAGTTAGTTTAGTTTAGGTTTCCTTCTGTAGTAATACTGGATCAATAAGAGATAATCCTTACTGGACCTCTAGGGAGAACAGTTTAGAACTGATAGAGCTATCCAGTATAAAGTTAGTTTAGTTTAGGTTTCCTTCTGTAGTAACACTGGACCAATAAGAGATCAACCATTCTTACTCTGAAGTGAGTTGTTTAGAACTGATAGAGCTTATTCGGTTACAAATCTAATATAACTGTCTTTTTCACAGGTGAGAAGCCAGCCATGAGTCCAGTAGCTCATATTGGTCAAGTTCCTACCCCCATTCCGATGGTATCAAGTCCCCATACACCCCAACCTGTGATCTCAACAGCCAACACTACTACAACCAACCCTAACACACCAGTATCAACTGTAACTGCTGGTCCACACACGCCCACACCTGCTGTTGCAAGTCCTGGTTGTCTGGATGGTAGTAATCTGTCTGGTGATGGTACGAAGAAAGCAGAAGATATAAACCCCGAGGGATTTTCACTGATCGAAACGCCACAGGATGGCACGGGAGACCCTTCAGAAGAGGTATGTAGTAGTGTTGATGATCATTGTGATAATGATGGTGGTGGTTAAGATGGTGGTGATGACGATGATGGTGGTGATTATGATGTCGGGG